AATATAAAATACATTATTGTAAACAAGAATTTAGCTTAAATTGAATAAGAACAAATTATGAACTAATTAATATTAATACATTCGAGATGAAATATAGAACTTAAATAGAAAAAATTGAAATCTATATAATTGTGTAATATATATTTTCTATAATCACCTTTAATAATTTAATTAAATTTTTTATTTTGGAAATACACTCTTAAAATTAGACGAAAACGTTTTAATTTCTAGTTAAAATAATACATTTTAATGGTTTCTTAAAAATTGAAGGTTTCCATGCCTAAAAACGAAAATGTTTAAATTAAAAAAAAAACAATTAGTATGTTTTAAAATTAAATATTATATTATTTATTAAGCACTTATTAAGCTCATTTAACTATATATTAAAAGTCTATTTAATGCCAATTATAGATTTACACTACAATCGTTACAATTTATTATATTATTATGTCAAGAATTTTATGAAAAAAAAATTAGTTAGAAAAAAGCTGTTTCATAGACAATTGAGTTACCTTTTGGACAAAAATAAACAATTCTGATGATTAAAGCAAGTATTGAAAATGTTGTTAGTTTTTACTTTATTCTGTCGTTTTGTAATAAATTACATTTACAAAATGTTTGCGCATCCCATAATATTCAATCATTTCAGTTTCCTACATAAGTTTATTTTCATAATATTATTTTGGTTCATTTGTAGGTATTCACATTCAAAAATATTTACTTCTTCTTTTATTATATTACCTTTTCACTTTTMAAATATTCTATATTCTTATTTCCTTTAGTATTGGTACATAGTATTTTATAATGGTGTATTTGATATTTATCAACGTCTAAAGAATAAAAACTTTTTCGACTGGTAATTCGTAAATTTATATTCATTCACTTGATATTTGACACCAAACATTTTGTTCATTATAATATCGTTCGAAGTAAACTGTTACCCAACTTACGAATATTATGTAAAAATTAGTTCTGATATTCGTGTAGTTTATGTTCATTAATTGTAGTATATAATACTTTATCAAAGTTATAACACCTACAACTAAGTAAATAAGTGAATTTATATTMAATATTTATTTAAATTGGATTACACGTTAATTGATTTTTCTTCTGATCCATCGGAGAGAAAATTGAAAACATTTATAAAACCAACACAAAAATGTTTAACCACAGAAGCTTTTATAATTTTCAATTGCAAT